AGAAAGGAGCCCCTGTGAATTGTGGGTTTTGAGACCTGCAGAGAGCTCCCAGCATTTTACTTAGGCCTGTGGAATTGGAAGCATTTCCTGGCCTGTATCTTCCAGGTAGGAGCACATGACTCTAACCTGTTTTCTAAGCCAGTCCTCTTGTAAAAAACAGAGCCCAGGAAGATAGCTTGAAATGTGTGCCTCTCTGGAGCTCAGTTCTATGCAGTTGTGCTGATGTTTCATTAAGTCACTGTGTATTTTTAAGTACTAATACATTGAAATTTGCTTTATGGAAGATGAATAAATTTTTTAAATACTTGGAAATTTTATTTCTTTGTAAACTTCTACAGATCAGGACAGGCAATAAAAGTAGCTTAAATGAAATACAAAAAAAAAAAAAAATCACACATCAGGAAGCTATTTGGCTAATTCTTTTTTTTAGCTATCTTATTTCTCCTGACTTTTGTTTTTATTTTAGCACCCTCAATATTTTTCTCTATTAAAGAATTTTACTTCTTTTGCAACTCATATTGCAGGATCATTTAGGCACAAGTAATTTATTTTGTGCAAAAGTGTAGTTTCTTCTTTTGACTCAGTACTGAGACTTTTATTAGCAGCATGTTCTTACTGCACAGATCTTAAAATTCATGTTGTGGTAGTGACTTTTTGTTCCTGTTGAAAGACTGACATTTCAGGAACATGGATGGCATTGGTTTAAATTTCAATGTTCAATCATTTAAATCGTTTTCAACCTAAAAAACTTCATCTTGGTATAAGTATCAGGTAAGGAGATTAAGGTTTTTAAAGTGAAGTTCTTTGCAATATGCATTCAGATTTTACTCTCTGGTACTGTAAAGAACCTGAGTGACTCTCAGTGGGTCATGGAGCCAGTATTCTTTATCCTGACTGTTTGAATATTAAAATTCCTTTATGTTTTCTATGACCTGTGGGATATTCTTGCAGTGATTCTTGTGTGTGAGATTTTTCCTTGTGCACGTCATTGTTAACATTATTGGGTGTTTCATAAGAGTTCTTTCACCATATCCCAGAAGCCATGGTCTGAATGGGTTCCCCAGAGGCTCTGTACTCTGTGGGCTTAGCTAACTGAAGACAGAGTCTGGTCTCCCTGTTGAAAATGAGGCTTACAGTCCAGGTTTCCCTTCTCTTGTTTTACCTCTATGCTCACCTTCCTTGTAGATTCGTGCTAGAGTTCCCTTCCATTTTCAGAGGATTGGATTGCATTCACAATTAGACTTAATAAGAACTTTAGGTGCTACTGAGATTGTAGTTTAGTTAGTAAAAACAGAATGTGTGCCTAGAAAGTTTTAAAAAGCAAATCTTTCAAATGAGTGATGATTTCTAAAAATCTAAAAAACTATTACTTACTGGTCTGATGACCTGGCTCAGCAGGTAAAGGTGCCTGTCACCAAGCCTGATGACACGAGTTTGATCCTTGGAACACACTTAGTGGAAGTAGAGAACTAACTCTCAACAAGTTGTCCTCTTACCTCCACATGTGTGTACCCCCCACCCCCATGACCACAAATATAAATAAATATTAAACCTGTTGGCTTTTCTTTTTAATATGCATCATATGTGTACATCTGTGCTTGTGAGTGCAGGGGCCCGTGGATGCCAGAAGAGAGGATGTTGAATCCTGGAGCAGGCCCTTATAGGTAGTTGTGAGCTGCCTGACATTGGTGCTAGGAACTGAACTATGAAAGAACAGTACATGCCCTTAACCACTGAGCCTTCTTTCCAGCCCCTCTTTTCCGTTTTTTGCTTGTTCATTTTGTTTTGAGACAGTTTCACTACTTCTGAGTGCTGGGATTAAAGGCCTGTCTTAGTTACTGTTTTATTGCTGTGAGGAAACACCATGACCAGAGCAACTTATAATAGAAAATATTTCATTGGGCTTGCTTACAGAGAATTAAGTTTGTTATCATCATGGCAAAGAGTGTGGTGATAGGCAGGCATGGTGCTGAGCAATAGCTGAAAGGGGAAGGAAGACAGGAACTGACATGGGCTTTTGAACCTAAAAGCCCACTCCCAGATTCATACCTTCAACAAGGCCACACCTAATTCTTCCTAAGCAGTCCACCAACTGAATCAAACAGTCTAATATGTAAGCCTGTGGAGGGCATTCCCATTGAAACTGCCATGGAGAGCTATTTCATTTTATTCCAGTTATCTGTAATCTGACTGGTAAATTTAAGGTTTGGCCAGCATCCTCCAAAACCTTGAGTTTTCAGTCTTAATGAAATGAAGGTATTGCAGCTGAGCAGAATTTTCTCTCTCCCTTTATTTTGAGACCTTAGGCTGGGCGGTGGTGGTGTACGCCTTTAGAGCCCGCACTTGGGAGGCAGAGGCAGGTGGATCTCTGTGAGTTCAAGGCCAGAGCTAGTTCCAGGACAGTCTCCAAAGCTACAGAGAAACCCTGTCTCGAAAAACCAAAAGAACAAAGAAAAGAAAATACTTTAAGACCTTAGTCATGTGACTATGTGATAAAATCGGTATTCTTTTTAGTAAGGCATGGTAATAGATGCCTGTAATCCCAGCATTTAGGAATTTGAGTCAGGAGAATGGCCATGAGTTCTAGATCTGGCCTCCATGGCATCTGTACATATGTATGTGTAGCCACATAGACATACACATAATTAAAGTGTTATTCCTTTTTTGTTAAGCTTTATTTTTGTTATTTTTAAATTATGTGAGTACATGTAGGGGGCGTGCATTTCTTTTAAAAAAGAAATGTGTGTTAGGGACTAGAGATGTCCCAGTGGTTAAGAACACTGGCTGCTCTTCCAGGGGGCCTTGGTTCAATTCCTAAAGGTGGCTTTCAACCATCTGTAACTCCAGTTTCAAAGACTCCAATGTCCTCATTTTGTTTGTTTGTTTTTTAATTTTATTTTTAAAGATTTGTTTATTTATTATGTATACAATGATCTGCCTGCATGTATGCCTTTGGGCCAGAAGAGGGTACAGATCTCATTACAGATGGTTTTTGAGCCACCGTGTGGTTGCTGGGAATTGAACTCAGGACCTCTGGAAGAGCAGCCTGTGCTCTTAACCTCTGAGCCATCTCTCCAGTCCTGTTTTTGCTTTTGTTTTTGTTTTTAAGACAAGGTTTTTCTATGTAGTCTGTGTAGCCTTGGCTGTCCTGGAACTCAGAGATTGGCCTGCCTCTGCCTGGATTAAAGGTGTGTGCTACCTTTAATGCAAGAGTTTAAAAAGAAGAGACTTGGGGCTGGAGAGATGGCTCAGCTGTTAAAGGCTAGGCTCACAACCAAAAAGAAGGTACTTGTGCTATGTGAGAGCCAATTACATTTTAAGTTTTAATTACTATGCCTAAAAGATCCATGAAACAAAAATTACATCTTACCTGCAAGCCCCTTATCCAAGAGCAGATAGTCCCTGAAATACAGGAGGCTACTATTTATGGGAGCTAACAAGCCACATGTTTTCACTTTCCATAAACAAATTTGACCTATCTGCACCAGGATGTGCTTGATCACATATGGGTGGGAGGTTCATCAGGATATATGCTGGCCCATGATTGGATGTAGTCTGGAGGTACATCAAGATGTATGCTTATCCCTAATTGGACCTGATGGGAAATGCAGTATGTTATGGGTTTTCCTTCTTACGTCCTTGCCATATTTGGTTCTGGGCTATTTCCTGGGGACCTGGGTATGGACCTGGCCAGAGCCCATCTACCTAGCCATAAAGCTTGCTTCAAATTTGGCTTTAAACTGCAGTAGTCTTATTCTGGATCGGTGGTATTAACCCCTGGAGAGGAGACTCAGTGGTTAAGAGCACTTGCTGCTCTTGAGAGGACCATGTTTGGTTCTCAGCACCCACTTCAGGCAGTTCACAACTGCCTCTAAGTCTAGCTAGAGGATCTGGGCCTCTTCTGGCCTCCACAGGCACTTCATTCGGGTGCACATACCAGTAGTCCTTGAACCCCCCCCCTTGCGGGTTGCATATCAGATATCCTACATATCAGATGTTTACATTATGATTCATAACAGTATCAAAACTATGGTTATGAAGTGACAACCATAATTTTATGGTTGGGGGTCACCAAAGGAGGAACTGTATTAAAGGGTTGAATCATGAGGAAGGTTGGGAACCACACTGGTATACATATGTGCACAAAATTTTAAAAATAATTTAAAAAATGAACTTCAAACAAGTAGTTTGCACCTTTCTGAAATCCACAGCATAAATAAAGTCTTTGAATCAAAGCTTTCACATGCAGATGGGTGAATTGTGTGAAGCAGAGTTCAGTTACAGGATAAACCCAAATCTGCATTTAGGTAGTGTTCTAGACTTAGATGTCCCTAACTGGAGTCTTCTGGACTCTGTTTGGATTTGGTAGAGATTGGTTTTGTTTGAGACAGCCTCATGTATCCCAGGCTGGTCTCAAACTTGCTTTGTAGACAGTATTTTCTGATCCTCCTGCCTCTTCACCCCATTTTTTGGGATTAGAGGTATGTGCCACTGTACCCTGTCTTTCGAAGTCCTGAAGAGCAAAGGCACCCTGTGAATGCTAAACAAGGAGCTGCATCCCAGCCCTTGTGGCATGTGCTTGCTGGGTGTGCATTTCTACAGGGACCCTCTGGGTAGGTGTTGCTCTGCTGCCATACTTTTATTAGTGTGTCTTTATTACCTTCTGTTTACTTGTGTTTGAAAGTTGACTTAACTGGTCCTAGTACTAACAGAAGTATGAAAAGGACGTGCTGCCATAGCTCCAGGGATTGAACTTGACTGGGGTGTCAAGAGAATGAAATGAAAACAGACACACAGATACACAAAAAAAAGCTGGTTGTCTGGAGGACTGGAGTAATGAAGAAACCTCAGTACTCCAGAAGCTCAGGGTGGCCAGGCAGTGGTGGTACGTGACTTTACTCCCAGCACTCGGGAGGCAGAGACCAGCCTGGTTGGGCTACTGATTGAGTTCCAGGACAGGCTCCAAAGCTACAGAAAAATCCTGTCTCAAAAAACAAACAAACAAGCTCAGGGTGTTTATTACATGCACTCCAACAGAAAGGCAGAGTTTATGGTATACAGGGGGATCAAGGAGGCATGTTTAACTAATCTTGGTAAGAACAGTCTTTTGAGGGGAGCAGTCTTCAAGCTGTGAATTCATGGGGAACAGCTGTGGTATGTACATTTTCTATGCATACTGTCAACATCTGTACTCAGGTCCCCGAGGAAGGCTTTGGCATCCATCCTCTTGAGCTTCACCTGGATTGAAGAAACAAACGTCTTTGCCATTTTCCTGTGGGTCTATGGCTAGGACCCATGACAGCATGTCAACAGCTCACACACATAGGGCTTCCTCTATTCCCTCCCTAGAGGGACCTTCCCCAGGTTTCACAGCTCCCTCCCTTTTGGGTAATGAATTTTTTTCCCCCCAGAGTGCCTCTGTAGCTTTGTGGTACACACTTTATAATCACAGTAACAGATTCTTTCTTTCCTTCTTTTTTGGCTTTTCGAGACAGGGTTTCTCTGTGTAGCTTTAGAGCCTGTCCTGGAACTAGCTCTAGTAACAGAAACTTTTTTCTTTTAAAGATCTTATTATGTATACAACATTCTGCTTCCATGTATATCTGCACACCAGAAGAGGGCACCAGATCTCATAACGGATGGTTGTGAGCCACCATGTGGTTGCTGGGAATTGAACTCAGGATCTCTGGAAGAGCAGTCAGTGCTCTTAACCTCTGAGCCATCTCTCCAGCCCCCTAGTAAGAGATTCTTAAAGAAGGTGGGAGATAGACAGGTGGCTCAGCAGTTAGGAGCACTTGCCAATTCTTGCTTGACAAGGACTTGGATTCAGTTCCCAAGCATCTACATGGTAGAATAAGCAGTCTATTCACTCCTGTTCCAGTGGATCCAGTGGCCTCTGTGGGCCCTGCAAGCAGGAGTACTAGTATATGCAGGCAAAATATTTACATAAAATTAAAAAATTAATGCCGGGTGTGGTGGATCATGCCTTTAATCCCAGCACTCAGGAGGCAGAGGCAGGAGAAATCTCTCTGGTTTTGAGGCCATCGAATTCCAGGACAGCCAGAGCTCTTACACAGAGAAACCCTGGCTCTCGATAAACATGATTAGATAGATAGATAGATAGATAGATAGATAGATAGATAGATAGATAGATAGATAGATAGATAGATAATCCTAAAACAAAAGCAGCAGCCACAGAGACTGGAGGCTAAAGCTCAAGGGTAGTAGACCCTGTTCAACCTTCAACCTGCTTGGTACCTGAGTTCAGTCCTTAGCAATGGGGTAGAGTTTAGCCCTGGGTTCTCTTAGGGTTTGACCTGCTTAGAAAGAGTTCTGTGCTAGTCTGAGCTCCCTTGGCTCCCTTATCTGCCATGCAAAGGTATCTCCTGTTTTGAAATTTGCTTCCTAATGTGTCTGGACCCCTGGGACTGACTTCACACCACTATCTCTTCCAGCCCTCACATTGTATCAAATGGCACATAGAAGGTAATTGAAACTACAGCATGCCTCTCAATAACTGTTACAGTTTAGCTTTTACCCAACACCACAGAATCTCATCTCCATTCTCAAATTAACCCTTCAGTGCCACATGTTTTTGAATGAACAGTTTATTATCAGGTAGGAGACAAAGATCAAAGAGAAATGATGGCTCAGCTGTTAAGAGCACTTGCCTCCAAGCACCTAAGTGATGGTTCACAGCCATCTGTAATTATAATTCCAGAGGATATGATGCCCTCTCTGCCCTCACCAGCACCAGGTGTGTACAGTCAGGCAAAACACCCATGTACATTTTTAAAAGTTGTTTTAATTTTAAGCAAAATAATCAAAGATTTGTTAAAAGGTTGGAATAAAGTAAACATTGTCATGACAAGTAGGCAGACAATAGTTAAATAGTAGATGTACAGAAAGCAACTATTACTTGTAGGCAAAGCAGGGAAGGAAAAATAGAGTAAGGAGAACACTTTGCAGCCACAGCTGAGCTCCTTACCCTTCCAAGGAGTCCATTTACCACAGGAACAGGAAATGCAGGTCTAACAGAAGTAGAGAAACATTCCAAGTAGGGAAGACAGCTGGGGTTGCCAGATACCACAGGGGACACACAACACAATTGCTTAACTAGATGCCCTGTATTTTATGTCCGTTAGAAAGAGCTGCAGGCTGGCACAGCCAGGGGTTCCAAGAGATCTTGAGAGGGGAGAGCATGGTATTGAGGATGTAGCTGTTTCTGAGCATCAAGGGGTCTTTCATGAACCACTCTTCAATGAATGAGAAAGAGAAACAGGACCCAGAAAGGAAGTGCCTGCATGTCTGTGTCTTTAACAGCCTGACATTGAAGAGTAGGGCAAAGGAGAAATGGGGATTTTCAGGCTAGAGAGATGGCTGCTCTTCCAGAGGTCCTGAGTTCAATTCCCAGTCACCACATGGTGGCTCACAAACATCACTAATGGAATCTGATGCCTCCTGTCATGCAGACATAAATGCAAATAGAGCACATATACATAAAATCTTTTTTGGAAAAAGAAAATCGGGTTTGGGACTTGAGCCAGTTGCTAGGTACTAGCTATTGAAAAGCCATGTTCTTGTTTAGAAGGAAATCATCCAGATAATCCAAGTATATATATGAATGTTTTAAAATGTAACAACAGATGAAAAGTGTGAAGATGGGGAACATCTCTTCTTTAACAGGAGGGATCCTCCAGTTTCTAAAAACAATATTAGAAAAATTTGATCCCAGAAAAGATCATTTCTACAACAGATAAGAGTAAAATTTGGTCAGAATAAGGCTGTTTGCCCACAGCGCCACCAGCAGTAAATGACCAAGGTACAGAATTTTCCAAGACGCAAGCCTCACCTAAAAAAATAAAAACAAAAATAAAAACAAAAAAACAGTACTGCTTTTAAATCTATGCTGATGAACATAGATTTATTCTGTATGATTCTGAAGACGAATGTACAGAAAGGCTATTTAGGGTCCAAGAGGAAAGTAATGCGCAAGTGCCAAGGGAAAGAAAACCATACAAGTGAAAGAGTAGGAGAGCGACGCAAACTCGAAAATTGCTGCTGTTTCTTCTAGTAAGAGCGTCAGTAGTACTGTTTTCAGTAGAGTTGTTTCCGCTCGAAGTAGTTGGGGCCATCGAGAAGCACCATAGGTGTTTTCTGTACCTCTAGGTCAATCCAGGAAGACCACCAAAGTGGCAGCGCGGATCTTCTCTGCTGATTTCGTCACTAGATCATGTCCGAAAGGCAGAGCTGAGAACACTACAAATCCCATCGTGCCCCTCAAGCGGAGGTGGGCGGACCCTTAGTGCACGTGGGCGACCCTGACCAATAACGACTGTCGTTACAGCGAACGGTTTGGCCGCGTTTGTAAAAGGCCGCAGCAGCCAAAGAGAGACGCGGCGAGAGTGGTCGCCGGCGGGAAGTCCCTGGAGGTGCGAGGCGGGTAAGGGTCCTGAGTGCGCGGCCGGGCAGTGGCCGGGCACGGCTGAGGGTGGCGGTCATGGTGGAAAATGTGTTCTGAGAACTGCGTGTCGTTATGGTTACATTTTTGCTGGGGTCTTCACTTGGCACCGGAAGTGAGCGTTGTGCGGAGGATGCCGGGATGGAGGTCGCATGGGAAGTGCGTTTTGCAGCCGGATGGTCCCGGAAGCTGCGCTTAGGCGCGCGCTCCTAAACAACACAGTAGGACTGAGGCCCAGACTCTGATCTGACAGCGACTGGCCTCATTTCCCCACTCTCAGTAAAGAGCTGCGGGCTTGCCGCTTCAGTCCAGTCCCGCAGTCCCATCCCTAAAATGGGTAAACAGCGCTTCCACAGATGCATTCAGTGAATGCGCGTGCTCCTGCAGTTCTGCTCACCTGAGGAGCGCTAAACACGCCCCCAAACAGCGTCCCCCACACCGACCAGCTCCGCGGCTGGCTGGCACCAGGGTGAAACCCACCTCGTTCTGGGTTCCCTGTTCATCCTCTTGCTAAGGAGAGACGACCATCCAGAGACCCTTCAGGTTTCCATCTCAGCTCCTTCACAAGTCGCTTTCCTTGTGTATCCTTTTAAGCAGAATCTTCAAGCCGGGCTCGGTGGCGCTGCCTGTCATCCCGGCACTCGGGAGGCAGAGGCAAGAGGATCTCGAGTTCGAGGACACCTAGGCTAGGTAGCAGACCCCGTCCTCGTTGCCCCCCCCCCAATAAAAAAAAAGAATTAGATGGGCGTGGTAGAGCACGCTTTTACTTCCAGCACTCTGAGACAAGCGGCGGTTCTGAGTTTGAGGCTAGCCTGGTCTAGGTAACTCTCTCTTGGAAAGAAAAAAAAAAAAAAGGAAAAAGAAGAAAACTCTGTAATGAGTCATAATAGTACATGTTTTAAAATTCAAATAGTAAAAAAATGAAATGTAAATCTCCATTTCCCAGGTCTCAAATCACTGCTGAGGCAATAGACATCTATTTATTTCTTAATTTCTTTCTTTCTTAGGTTTTTTTTTTTTTTTTTTTTTTTTTTTGTTTGTTTTTATTAAATAACTTTTCTCTTTTTTTGTCAAAGGGGTTGGATTCCCTGGAATTAGAATTATAAGAAGTTGTGTGCCCCCAGTGTGGATTCTGGCAACCTAACTTGGGTCCTCTAGAAGAGCAGTTCATGCTCTTAACCACTGAACCTACCCACCCTCATTAAAACAAAAAATAGCATACACAAAGCACTACACTTTTTACATTCCGCAACACGTGTTGATACGTGCTCGGTACACAGATCTCACTTGTTTTTAGTGCCTTTACAGTAGCATATTACCTGGGTACACTGTACTTAGCTCTTTCCTGAAAGTCCTCTTCCTGTTCTGCAATTATTCTCACAGAGAAATTGCTGTGATTTCGAGGCGAGCCTACTCCACATATTGAGTTAAAGACCAGCCCAGGTCTACATAGTTAGACCCAACTCAAATGGAGGGGGTGCTGGTAAATTTAAGAGTGCATACTGCTCTTGCAGGGAGTCTGGGTTCAGTTCCCAGCACCCATGTCTGGCCAGCCTAGTCTACTGAGCCAGTTCCAGGACAGACTCCAAAGAAATACAGAGAAACCCTGTCCCAAAATAACAAAAAAAGTAAAAATGAAAATATATACAAATAAATTATGATATATTAGAAGTAAAATCACCAAAGCGAAGTTTTTAATACATAATTTTATTTATAGCCTTTCCAATAGAGTGGTGAGATATAAAATCCTTTCTGCTCTTTTTTGATGGCTTTTTTTGTTGTTGTTGTTGTTTAATTGGTACTAGGGATTGAAACTAGATGCCTCCTCATTAGGTAAGGACTCTACAACTAAACTATATCTCAACCCTCTTTTTTTGTGTTTTGTTTTTCAAGACAGGATTTCTCTGTGTAGCTTTGGAGGCTATCCTGGCACTCCCTCTGGAGAACAGGCTGGCCTCAAACTCACAGAGATCCACCTGCCTCTGTCTCCTGAGCGCTGGGATTAAAGGCGTGCGCCACCAACGCCCAGCTTCTCAACACTCTCTTTAAAATTTTTTTTAAGATTTATTTATGTACGTGAGTATATGCTAAAGATGTTTCTCTCTCAGGTTTCATTGTTATCTAGGGAATGCACTTTAGCTAGGGCTTAAGTGATCAAGCCAAAACAAATTCAAATTCTTTTTTGCGGGGCGAGGTTTCAAGATAGCGTTTCTCTGTACCTTTGGAGCCTGTCCTGGAACTCTGTAAACCAGAATGGCCTCGAACTCACAGAGATCCACCTGCCTCTGCTTCCCAAGTGCTGG